TGTGTGTGTGGCCAGCTCAGCCCAGCAGGGGGCAGGGCTGGCTGGCATGTGGTGCTGGGGGATTGAACCGCGGTCCCTGTGCTTTTAGTTTGTTCTAAGTAGGTGCTTTAGACCACTGAGCCATCTCACCAGCCCTTGAGAATGTATCTTTGTTCTTTGTATTTCCAATTCATATTCTCTACCAGGGATTGAACTCGGGACCTTGGCAAGTTCTTATGTTGCTAAGGTATCTCCCCTGCCCTCTTGGTCTTTTCTGAGACAAGGTCTTACTACACAGTTGAGGCTGACCTTGAGCTCACTTTGTAACCCAGGCTGGTCTTGAACTTGCAATGATCTTCCTGCCTCAGCCTCCTGAGGTCATTTCCAATTCTTAATAGGGATCTTGGCAGCCAACAAAATGCCTTAATCAAGAATCAGACACTAGGACCAGAGATATAGCTCAGCAGCACAGTGCCTACCTGGCATGCACAAGGTCCTGAAATTTTGATTCCTGGTTCCACAGAAAAAGGGGGGGAGGGGTTGAAAGAACCAAAACACTAGGTAGAGATTTCTCAGGGGCACAGCATCTGCCTGGCCAATACAAGGTCCTGAGTTTGATTTGAAATACCCATTCCCCAAATGAATCAGCCACTATTAAGAGTCAAGTATCAGACTGAAGATGGAGATCAGTGGTTATTTATTTTGGTACTCAGGATCAAACTCGGGACTTTGTGCTTGTCAGGCAGGTATTTACGCCACTGAGCTAGCTCCCCAGCCCCACACAGGCAGTAATAAAACAGTCAAATATCCATAATGTCAAAGGTAAAGATAAATATAACCAATAATTTCTAAGTTTAGAACAAAATAACTGTTCTGTAGGCCATTCTTTGCTGTCCAATAAACTGATACTGTTCACATTTTATGTTATTCTAGTAACTGTATCTCAAACCTAGCAAGTACCGTACCACAACTCTGTCAGTAATAGCCTGGTGTGGTGGCACATGCTTGTAATTCCAACATACCAGAAGGTAAGGCAGGAGGACTGCTATGAGTTCAAGGCTAGCCCAGGCTACACATGACACCCTGTCTTAAAAGACCAAAACAATTCTGGGCATGGCAGTGCACGCCGGTAATCCCAGCACCTAGGAACCGGAGGCAGGAGGAGCACTGCCAACTTTAGGCCAGCCTGAACTACATAGTGAAACCCTGTCTCAAAAAAAAGGAAAAGAAAAAAAAAAGAGCAACAAAACAAACCTCTACAAGTAATAAATGCTGCATCCTTTGATATATACATAATTTAAATTCATCTACTTTTTCATATACTCATTACCACAGCAGTCAGACTCCCAAACAGAAAATTTTTTAATTCATAAAAATGAATCATAAATTTATCTAAACTGGACTCATGTTGAGGCCAACACACTTGCAATTCCAAGTTTTTGTATATATTACTGGGTGAATACTTAAGCAAATATTACTCTATATATTTACCATATTGCACTTAATGAAAAAAGATCTTTCATCAAGAAATCTTTCAATTCTGCTTTCCTATTTTAGTCTAATTCTAGAATAAGATAGTATTCTGAATGTTAAAAGAACCAAATATAAGTATCTTAGTAATAACAGGTCTAAACTCTGGAAGAAGTTGTTTTTTTTTTTTT